CTCAACTTATTTTAATCGGATTTTCAAGTGGCATACCTCTTAATGATTCTGGCGCAATTCTCTAAAAAACTGCATTCAAATCTAAAAATTTATTTTTTTTTTAAATTTTAGTCATTTTTTTGATGTGAAGATGTTGCAGAATCAAAAAAATGTCTCAAGGCTGAAGTTCTAAACTTCATAACTCAGCTTATTTTAATCGGATTTTCAAGTGGCATACCTTTAACTATTTCTGGTGCAATTCTCTAAAAATCTGCATTCAAATTTAAAAATTTATTTTTTTTTAATATTTTAGTTATTTTTTTGATGTGAAGTGTTGCAGAATCAAAAAAATGTCTGATGGCTGAAGTTCTAAACTTCATAACTCAACTTATTTTAATCGGATTTTCAAGTAGCATACCTCTTAATGATTCTGGTGCAATTCTCTAAAAATCTGCATTCAAATTTAAAAATTTATTTTTTTTTAATATTTTAGTCATTTTTTTGATGTGAAGATGTTGCAGAATCAAAAAAATGTCTCAAGGCTGAAGTTCTAAACTTCATAACTCAGCTTATTTTAATCGGATTTTCAAGTGGCATACCTCTAAATGTTTCTGGCGCAATTCTCTAAAAAACTGCATTCAAATCTAAAAATTTATTTATTTTCAATTTTTTTGTAATTTTTTTGATGTTATGATGTTGTGGAAATTCAAAAACTTAAGAAATGTCCTAAGGCTGAAGTTCTAAGCTCCATAACTCAACTTATTTTAATCGGATTTTCAAGTGGCATACCTCTAAATGTTTCCGGTGCAATTCTCTAAAAAACTGCATTCAAATCTAAAAATTTATTTTTTTTTAATATTTTAGTCATTTTTTTGATGTAAAGATGTTGCAGAATCAAAAAAATGTCTGAAGGCTGAAGTTCTAAACTTCATAACTCAACTTATTTTAATCGGATTTTCAAGTGGCATACCTCTAAATGTTTCTGGCGCAATTCTCTAAAAAACTGCATTCAAATCTAAAAATTTATTTTTTTTTTAAATTTTAGTCATTTTTTTGATGTGAAGATGTTGCAGAATCAAAAAAATGTCTCAAGGCTGAAGTTCTAAGCTCCATAACTCAACTTATCTTAATCGGATTTTGAAGTGGCATACCTCTAAATGTTTCTGGCGCAATTCTCTAAAAATCTGCATTCAAATTTAAAAATTTATTTTTTTTTAATATTTTAGTTATTTTTTTGATGTGAAGTGTTGCAGAATCAAAAAAATGTCTGATGGCTGAAGTTCTAAACTTCATAACTCAACTTATTTTAATCGGATTTTCAAGTAGCATACCTCTTAATGATTCTGGCGCAATTCTCTAAAAATCTGCATTCAAATTTAAAAATTTATTTATTTTCAATTTTTTTGTAATTTTTTTGATGTTATGATGTTGTAGAAATTCAAAAACTTAAGAAATGTCCTAAGGCTGAAGTTCTAAGCTCCATAACTCAACTTATCTTAATCGGATTTTGAAGTGGCATACCTCTAAATGTTTCTCGCGCAATTCTCTAAAAAACTGCATTCAAATCTAAGAATTTATTTTTTTTTAATATTTTAGTCATTTTTTTGATGTGAAGATGTTGCAGAATCAAAAAAATGTCTGAAGGCTGAAGTTCTAAACTTCATAACTCAGCTTATTTTAATCGGATTTTCAAGTGGCATACCTCTAAATGATTCTAGTGCAATTCTCTAAAAATCTGCATTCAAATTTAAAAATATATTTTTTTTTTAAATTTCAGTCATTTTTTTGATGTGAAGATGTTGCAGAATCATAAAAATGTCTCAAGGCTGAAGTTCTAAACTTCATAACTCAACTTATTTTAATCGGATTTTCAAGTGGCATACCTTTAAATGATTCTGGTGCAATTCTCTAAAAATCTGCATTCAAATTTAAAAATTTATTTTTTTTTAATATTTTAGTCATTTTTTTGATGTGAAGATGTTGCAGAATCAAAAAAATGTCTGAAGGCTGAAGTTCTAAACTTCATAACTGAACTTATTTTAATCGGATTTTCAAGTGGCATACCTCTAAATGTTTCTGGCGCAATTCTCTAAAAAACTGCATTCAAATTTAAAAATATATTTTTTTTTTAAATTTTAGTCATTTTTTTGATGTGAAGATGTTACAGAATCAAAAAAATGTCTCAAGGCTGAAGTTCTAAGCTCCATAACTCAACTTATCTTAATCGGATTTTGAAGTGGCATACCTCTAAATGTTTCTGGCGCAATTCTTTAAAAAACTGCATTCAAATCTAAAAATTTATTTTTTTTTAATATTTTAGTCATTTTTTTGATGTGAAGATGTTGCAGAATCAAAAAAATGTCTCAAGGCTGAAGTTCTAAACTTCATAACTCAGCTTATTTTAATCGGATTTTCAAGTGGCATACCTTTAACTATTTCTGGTGCAATTCTCTAAAAATCTGCATTCAAATTTAAAAATTTATTTTTTTTTAATATTTTAGTCATTTTTTTGATGTGAAGTGTTGCAGAATCAAAAAAATGTCTGAAGGCTGAAGTTCTAAACTTCATAACTCAACTTATTTTAATCGGATTTTCAAGTGGCATACCTCTAAATGTTTCTGGCGCAATTCTCTAAAAAACTGCATTCAAATCTAAAAATTTATTTTTTTTTTAAATTTTAGTCATTTTTTTGATGTGAAGATGTTGCAGAATCAAAAAAATGTCTCAAGGCTGAAGTTCTAAGCTCCATAACTCAACTTATCTTAATCGGATTTTGAAGTGGCATACCTCTAAATGTTTCTGGCGCAATTCTCTAAAAAACTGCATTCAAATCTAAAAATTTTTTTTTTTTTAATATTTTAGTCATTTTTTTGATGTGAAGATGTTGCAGAATCAAAAAAATGTCTCAAGGCTGAAGTTCTAAACTTCATAACTCAGCTTATTTTAATCGGATTTTCAAGTGGCATACCTTTAACTATTTCTGGTGCAATTCTCTAAAAATCTGCATTCAAATTTAAAAATTTATTTTTTTTTAATATTTTAGTCATTTTTTTGATGTGAAGTGTTGCAGAATCAAAAAAATGTCTGAAGGCTGAAGTTCTAAACTTCATAACTCAACTTATTTTAATCGGATTTTCAAGTGGCATACCTCTTAATGATTCTGGCGCAATTCTCTAAAAAACTGCATTCAAATCTAAAAATTTATTTTTTTTTTAAATTTTAGTCATTTTTTTGATGTGAAGATGTTGCAGAATCAAAAAAATGTCTCAAGGCTGAAGTTCTAAACTTCATAACTCAACTTATCTTAATCGGATTTTGAAGTGGCATACCTCTAAATGTTTCTGGCGCAATTCTCTAAAAAACTGCATTCAAATCTAAAAATTTTTTTTTTTTTAATATTTTAGTCATTTTTTTGATGTGAAGATGTTGCAGAATCAAAAAAATGTCTCAAGGCTGAAGTTCTAAACTTCATAACTCAGCTTATTTTAATCGGATTTTCAAGTGGCATACCTTTAACTATTTCTGGTGCAATTCTCTAAAAATCTGCATTCAAATTTAAAAATTTATTTTTTTTTAATATTTTAGTCATTTTTTTGATGTGAAGTGTTGCAGAATCAAAAAAATGTCTGAAGGCTGAAGTTCTAAACTTCATAACTCAACTTATTTTAATCGGATTTTCAAGTGGCATACCTCTTAATGATTCTGGCGCAATTCTCTAAAAAACTGCATTCAAATCTAAAAATTTATTTTTTTTTTAAATTTTAGTCATTTTTTTGATGTGAAGATGTTGCAGAATCAAAAAAATGTCTCAAGGCTGAAGTTCTAAACTTCATAACTCAGCTTATTTTAATCGGATTTTCAAGTGGCATACCTTTAACTATTTCTGGTGCAATTCTCTAAAAATCTGCATTCAAATTTAAAAATTTATTTTTTTTTAATATTTTAGTTATTTTTTTGATGTGAAGTGTTGCAGAATCAAAAAAATGTCTGATGGCTGAAGTTCTAAACTTCATAACTCAACTTATTTTAATCGGATTTTCAAGTAGCATACCTCTTAATGATTCTGGTGCAATTCTCTAAAAATCTGCATTCAAATTTAAAAATTTATTTTTTTTTAATATTTTAGTCATTTTTTTGATGTGAAGATGTTGCAGAATCAAAAAAATGTCTGAAGGCTGAAGTTCTAAGCTCCATAACTCAACTTATCTTAATCGGATTTTGAAGTGGCATACCTCTAAATGTTTCTGGCGCAATTCTTTAAAAAACTGCATTCAAATCTAAAAATTTATTTTTTTTTAATATTTTAGTCATTTTTTTGATGTAAAGATGTTGCAGAATCAAAAAAATGTCTGAAGGCTGAAGTTCTAAACTTCATAACTCAGCTTATTTTAATCGGATTTTGAAGTGGCATACCTCTAAATGTTTCTGGCGCAATTCTCTAAAAAACTGCATTCAAATCTAAAAATTTATTTATTTTCAATTTTTTTGTAATTTTTTTGATGTTATGATGTTGTAGAAATTCACTGAAATTAAAAAATGTCCTAAGGCTGAAGTTCTAAGCTCCATAACTCAACTTATCTTAATCGGATTTTGAAGTGGCATACCTCTAAATGTTTCTGGCGCAATTCTCTATAAAACTGCATTCAAATTCAAAAATTATTTTTTTCAAATTTTTTTTGTAATTTTTTTGATGTTATGATGTAGAAATTCAAAAAATTCACAAATGTCCCAAAGCTGAAGTTCTGAACTCCATAACTTAAAGGTTAACCAAAAAGGGCTATTATTAGGCATTTTCTTTCATTGATAGTCATTTGGAAAAATCCCAAATAGTACTGGAAAATCCATTATTCATATTACCATATACACATTATATAATGTACTCATTCCCTTATTGAGCAGTAATTCAATAATATCAATTAAACTTTCACGACACAGAAGCGAACACATTTCGACCGAAATAATTTAAATGTGGCCCAGGGACCTGCATAATTAATGAGTCCTTTCCACTGCTTGTTTTGCAGGAAGCATACCGTCGCTGGGTCTGCAGTACACTAGTGCCATATTTCGCCGAGCCAAAGGACGTGTCTCCGCAGCCGAAGGACGAGGGGCAGGGGCAGGGCAAGCGCTCGGCGAGAAGTGCAGCGAGTGCGGAGGCTATGGCGATGGCGATGGCGGACGGAATCAAGCATAAATCTCTGAAATTAATCAGCAATAACAATAAATCAAATAACGGCAATAACATGAACGAGCGTCAGATTAATCAGAAGCATGACAAGAGCTCCAATGCGAAGGCGAACGCGAACGCGAACTCGAACTCGAACGCCAGCAAGGACATTGACCGCAGCGAGGAGGAGGCGATTGACAGGGACCTGGCCCAGACATTCTACGATGTTGTTGGCCTGTCTAAGCCCCGGCGCGGCGAGGAGGAGCTCGTGCCGGAGGAAGAGGCTGGATTAGGACGCAGTGCGGACTCCGAGGGGGATAAGGGTGCGCAGGCGGAGAGGAACGGAAATAGGAGCAGGGAGACGGAGACGGAGCTGGATACGGAGGCCGAGGCCGAGGCCGAACAACAATCCAATAATTTCATATCGACTGCCAATAATTCGGATCCCAGAGCTACGGATCCAGTGATATCAAAACTACAGAAGAGGTGAGCTACCCACATGGCCATATAGTGAATTCTCATTAATTTCATTTCCCACACCAACTCAGATCAACACGCAAGACAGAGTTCCGTAAGCGTCGTCGTATCCGGCCGTGCCTGAGCGTCTGCCAAACCGTGGAACAAAAGTGCCCCTACCTGCTGCCCGCCGATCGCGCCCCTGCGCTGCCCACCCAATATGCCGGCGAGCCGACATTTCTCTGCCTAGGTGAGTGTGCTTCCGGCCCCATAGAATGCTGTACTCATCTCATTCGCACCCCAATCCCCGCCAGATCAAAACATACCCGAGACAGGGGCGCAGCTGGAGAAGTCGAGCTACGGCCCCAACGATTGCTGCTACAGCTACTGCAACGGACCGGCCTCCGGCATCTGCACCGTTTGCCAGGACTTCAGCCAGCCCCGGGCGGAGGAGGGCGAGGTCGCGGGCAACTCCACCCGCCGTGTGCACAACATCACGCTCTCGCTGAGCTCACATCCCGGCGAGCACGCCCGCGCCAAGAGTGTGGCCCTGGCCCTGCGGAACGTCAGCCAGACCGGAAGCGATCCGGACGCAGTGGACACGCTGCTGGACCGCCTGCCGTACTACGCCAGCCACGACGGGATCTTCTACTACGACGAGGAGGGCGAGATGCCGCACGCCTCGCTCTCCGGCGACTGTGCCGTAGTGCCCGCCGCGACCACGCGCTGCACCATTCCGTACTACGCCTCCGGGACGGGTGCGGTGGCCAAGCCGCCAACGCAGCTGCTGGTCTGGCTGAGCGCCCTGCTCGGCCTGCTCAGCAGCTGTGGAGCGGCGCGTCAGCGGTGGAGCTGCCAGTGGAGCGGTGGCTGCGGCGCACACCGGGGTCGCAGTCGCCAGGCGGTCGCCTGCGAGGCCAGCTGCCACGAGCAGGAGCTGGTGAAGAGCAGGAGCTGCAGCCAGAGGACCCAGAAGGTGCGCAGGGAGACGCCTGCTCGGGCTCAGGACGCCGAGCTGGTGGCCTTCAGGACGTGGCTGTGGTCCAGCTCCTGGCACGCCTACCAGCTGACCTGCAGCAAAGTACGATACTTCAGTAGCCGGAGTAGGTTCAAAGGCGACACGAGGCCCGCTCGCTCGACAAACTCCAAGGACCCGCGCTCGTTCGGAGGCGGGAGTGGTGGGCTGCGGTGGAGTCGGGGCGCAGGATGCACTAGGACTAGGAACTACCGCTTCTTCTACTACTACAACTACAACATCAACGACTGGTGGCGGAGATGGTGGCGCTGCCTGAGCAGCGGGGCCTTATAGTGCCTGCGAAGGATCAGGATGACGACGCCCACGACGACTCCCTCTCCCGCTCCCTTTCCCTCTCCAGCGCAGAGGCGATACCAAGCACTAGTAATAGCCAAATCAGAACCGATGCATAGTAGATGTGGCAATGGTCCGAGGAAGAGACACAATGACACAGAACACACCCAAATCCATGGAATACGAATTAAACGAAACGGAAAACAGAAACCACTTAAATATTTACGGTCCTCTTTCAAACGAAATAAAAACAAGCATGAATTAATTATAAATCTCTATTGAAACAAAACCAAAATAGCATATTTTATTACAACTAGAACAAAGAATATGAATATTTAATTAAACAAAAAGCAACTGCCACAAGAATAGGTTTTTTAGATAAACGATAACGGAAGTATAAAACAAAAAAAAAACAAAACAAAACAAAACAAAAAAACAATTTAAAAAGCATACAACTAAAACATAAAAGGAATACCGACGGAAAATATAAATAGTTATTAATTTAATTGCTGGCGAACATAAATACGAACAGTTTAGGTTAGCTATAAAACAAAAAAGACGAAAGGAAAAATCCAAATTTACTAGACTACAAATTTGAGAGCGGCAAGGCGATTAGAGGAAAATGTTCAACACACAATTTCATTCAAACAACAACAACGTACGAGTATAGGCCGCGTATCAACCACCTTTCAAAGAAAAGCGAAACGTGAACTTTACTTAAATTAGTTTACATATGCGTATGTGTATGTGTATGGAGAGTACTATAGTCAAGGTGGGAGCGATTTAACTAACAATTAAAACAATTAACGGGAAGAAAACAAAAAGAAGCCGCAAAAGTGTCTAAAATGTCTTTATTTAGTATACAAATAAGAGGAAGTAAACGTTTGTATAACCCAATAAAGCAAAAGAGCCAAAATGGAAAAGGAAGAGTATGTAAAACGCACAGTAACACGTATCTTTAAGATTCATCGACCGACATGGCGAGGGACTCTGGCCGAGATTCGGATTCGGGTAGCAACTTCCGTTGCATTCCCGGCACATAGAACCATGCGCCCCATAGGACATATGAGTCGCATATATGTATGTACGTTAGTTATAGTCAAAATGTGCAACGTAAGCCGCAAATTAAGGTAGAGAGGCGTGGTCAGAAGAGCAACAATATACCTACTATATACATACTAACAATGAATAATAATACTTTTTGTAATAAAGTGAACTCTATGTAGCGTATATATATTAATTATATATATGAAATATATATATTTATATAATATATATTGTCTTAACAACTTATCGTACATAACTTGCAGCAAATGAAAACTATGAGAAAATCGAAATGAGAAACCGAAACCGAAACCGAAACCCCTAACGGCAAAAACCAAACGTAAAAATTAAGAAATAATTAGTCGTATTTGGTATTAACTAATTAACTATTAAAGTAAGAACTAAACAATTTGAGAGACCCTCTGATAGAGCACACTCGCCCACACTCTCACAGATATAGAACGACACCTCTTCGAGCACTCCTAATGGTTCAGTTCAAGTTAGTTTCCCCACCCAATCACCCGATGACCCGATGACCCGGTGACCAGACATCCGAGCACCCCACTTCCATCTGTCACTCCACCTCTGTCACACCCTTCAATTCTTCGGAAAAGTCCTTTGTTCGATCTTTCCACTGAGGTCTCTTATCGAACGGTTGAACCCACTGCAGGCAGTGTCGGAATGACCAGGACTTAAGTCTATTAGGATGCCTTTCCGTTGTGCATCGGATCGTTTCCCACACGAGTTTCCACAACATCTTGCATTACCAAACTGACGAAATTACTTTAGGAGGTAGGAGTAGGTAGCAGGCGGTAGCAGGAGGTAGAGGACAGCAGATGGTACGCATTTTGTTAGGTGTTGTAGTAGTAACGTATCGGTATCGCATATAACGAGCAGGAGCAGCAGCAGCAGCCTTCATTACGAACCCTCCATTTCTCTCTGGTTAGCCCCCATATCAATAACTCTTTGTAAATACAGATTACGTATGAGCAATTCGCCTCGAGTCCATCTGCACAGTCCCCGACTCATCCCCAAAGCATCCACATGCATACGACGCCACACCTTCGCTCTTTGATTCTCCAAGTGTCCCCCAGTTGCGCCGTGTGCGGCACCATTTCCATCGATGTGGCGATGGTGCGGGTTGACGTGGCCGAACTTTTCACTTATTACTACAAGTATAGGGGCGGATGCATGCCTTTTCTTGGGAAAACAGGGGGCGTAAGAGCAGGAGAGGGGCGGACCGACACCGTTATCAGTCATTTCAATGGCGGAACGGAGGCGGAGGCGGAAGCGCAAACGGAAGCGGAAGCGGAAACGGAAAAGGTAACGGTGGCGGAAATAGTAACAGAAACAGAAACAGAAACAGAAACAAAAAGGCAAAGGAACAGGGCAGAGTCAGCCGCTGGCACAAATTGCGCGCATATAGAATGCAAATTGTTATGAATTATTGTGTACTTTTGTAAAACTTTTTGATATATATAATATAGTTAACATGAATAGATGCCTAAATAATAATAAATTAAATATTAATTTATTTAAATGTAAACAATAAATAGAGAAGGACACTGGAGTAGGCCGGCGGCTGTGGACCCGGAGGCGGACCGAGGTCGATTGCAGTCCGCTGCAGTTGGTCAGTGCGACTCGATCCCGGACCCCAGTCCATATCCGAGCCCCGGAATTAGCGTATGTACGAATAAATTTTAGGCACCGAAGAACGAGGATCTAGACGCCCCTGCGGCGGGATGATTCGTTCCAGGAGGCGGCGATATCCCTGTGCATAGCGAAACTAGTTGAATTGTGTACGTAATGTGGGCGAAACCATAGCTCCAGATCTGATCCATCGACTTTGCATGGTAGACAGCGCATCGACACCACCTCATGCGGTCCATACACAATCGATTCACATTCGAATCCAGATCCGAATCAATAACCAATTAGCACGAATTATACAATAATTTTTGTAATTGATTAGCCGCTGCCACACAAGCAAAACCAAAACCAAAACCAAAACCGAAACCAAAAATCGAAAAATCGAAAAACAACAACAAGCATAAAGCAAAAACTCCGCTGCGGCGTTCGCTAGCAATTATTTTTTACAAAAACCAAAAACCAAAAAACAAATATTTCAAATATGTAAAAAAAGAGATTTTTAAAAACCGAAACCAAATTGGAAACACGAAATTCTTTTTAGGCCAAATGAAATTACATAATTGTGTGCCAGGATAAAAGTGACAAAATATAAAAAAGAAGAAAGCGTTAAAATGTGTTGTATTTAATATCATGCAAGCATGCACAGAAAACCGAGCAAGGCGAATAAACAAAAACAATTAATATAACGAAATTCATAGCGTCAAGTCAAGTTTAATTTAATTAAATGAAAACATAGACTAATTTAATGGTTTAATGGAAAGCCACACAGCTAGCAAACAAAACAAAAAGTCTCCATCAGATTGAATACTCTAACCATAGTAATTCCCGAATGAAAGTTTGCATAGTGAAAAATCGAATCCAACAATGACAAGCCCCTCCCGAATAACAGTAATTTAGTGGAAACTGATAAAAAAGTAAAACCTAAACCCCACTTGAGACAGCTAAAACTTTAAAAACTAAACTGAAATCTTCTGTACTTGTTATTAAAATACAAAACGTAAGGATAAAGAAAACATAGAAGAATCAACAAATTATAAATAAAAAAAAACGATGAAAAGCCCAAAAATAGAACACAAAAACGAAATTTCATAGTCCTTAAGCTAAACTCTAAAACCAAAGAAAATTAAATTCCCCCAGCCAAACTATCTAACGTAATGAAATTCATTTCCAAAGCGGACGGAGGAAGAATAGTAATACTTTCTAATAATAATGGCAACTGGCATAATTATGGTAATTGTAAAATAATTAAACAATGACGTAAACGTAATACAAAACGGAAAAATCGAAAATAATAAAAATAAATTGTTGTTATTGAATGTATTTGTATAGAAAAATTATTATGATTATGACGATGAATAATAAATGATTACAAAAATAATAATTATTGTTCAAACCGAAAAGCAAACAAAAAAACAAAACAAATATATATATATACGAGAAACCGTCTTTGACTTCCTACTGGGATGAACTGGAGGTCAGGTCACTGGTTCAAGTGCCACGTGCGAATACCCGCGGGTTTTGCTCGGAAAAATCGGAATAATGGAATAATGGTCGGGGAACCCCCACAAACAAAATAATTAGGAGCCCTCGGGGGAGGTGGAGGTGGAAGGGTAGGAGGAAATAATCGCATGGCTCCGGACCAAAGCAAAGGATAATTGCATGCGTGTACTTAAAGCAGTGGTTCGTCATTTCCCACTTTGGCCAGTCCCATTTCGAAATCCTTGATGAAGGTGTCATCGGAAATGATGATGTCCAGAAAGATGTCCACAGCCAACAAATACTGTTGCCTACTTTCGGGCACTGAAAGGCTCAATTAGCAAGATTTGCCATCACGATCCCCACTTAGTACACAAAGGCTGAACGCCTTGTTTGCCAATCCGCCTGCCCGAGTTATACGTTATTTATGGAAAGTATAACCATGCATATCAGGCGAAAATCTTGATTTCCCCAAGCAGCTAACCGGCAAAGTGCCAGCAATCAAGTCGGGAAACCAGCGAGCGGTGGCAAATGGCATGTTCTGCAATCTCGCACGCACTTGCGTTTAAAGTGCTTCGGCTAAAGTGCTGGCGGGACTGGCGACGAGATTGTATTATATAACCTGTGTTACTTTCACTTTCGAGTTGCTCAACGAAGGTGCTTAGCGGCAGTAACGGCGGCAACATCATCGGCAGCCGCAACGGCAAACACTCTAATTAGGCGCAGCCAGCACGGAGGAGGAGGCGGCAGGACGAAGGACGAAGGCAGTCGGCAGTCGGCATGCCGAAGCTGAATCCTTCGGCTCCGTTGGCCGGGGCACTGAGCCGCCGTGCGCCGAGTTTTCAGATACGTTTCGGCTGGCGAAAGGGAAAGTTCGAACTGCGGACGCGGCGCCGGGAAATCCTTCGTTTTCCGGCTGTTTTTCCGAGTTTTGCGGGCTGCATGTGAACGCATTTTCGGTACGTGTTTATGCGCCTTTGAAATGTGTGTTTGTGGGGCGAAATATTTGCCTAGTGCTAACGAGTTGTGCGTCGACGGTCAACTGGCTTTTCTGTTTGCTCGCGGCACTGGCGTATATTTTTGCATACTTTTTGGCGCCAGCTGAAAAAGTCCAAAATAGAAACGTGAAATTGCGAATCCGTCCGAGAGCATTAATATGGCATGAAAACGGTAGGCCAACTGACAGCTACATGAATTGCCACTCAGGCCTAAGTGCGCGTAAAAGGTCAATGCTAATTGACACTGACGCGGCGAATAAGTTGGCAATTTCTCGATAATTGGGAACTCAATTACCTACTCTCGGAACGTTTTGATCGGTTGGTAATTGTTGTTCAAGAATAAGAGAGAAAACTTGGAAACTTCGGACTTGTGGCGCATACTTAGATATTTCACTCTTATCTCTCAGTTATGTGCTTGCCTTATCTTAATTATTATAAATTGATCAATTTAAAGTTGGTAAGTGAGCTGCAGATCCTTATGGTCACAGTGTGGCTTTCCAAGCTGAGTACAAGTGCGTTTAGATGCCATTGAGAGCATTTGTAAAGGTCTGCGTTGTTCTAAGTAGTATTTGACAGTTGGCTGATTGCCGTGGGGCCAGCAGCTTCAGCTCGCTGAAATATTAATTGAGCCCCCGTTCGACTAGCGCATTGTGAGCGGAGAATGAGGCAAGTGACACGCGCATCGCCGGGTCAAAGTCAGGCCCTCCTTGCCTGCCTCATTATCGCCGTGTGCGCCGCATTAATAATTCAATCCGGGCAAGTCCAGGGTGCGAAAGCTCAGCCGGGACGCGAACCCGGCGTGGTGAATTCGGCGGAGCCCGGCAACGGTGCGTATGAAAACAGCAGTACCGACAGTAATGACACAGAAAGGCGGTTGCGCAAAGTAATTTGGAAATGCATTCCCACAGAAAATGGGAGCACTGGGCAACGCGTGCCGCGCAGTGTGTTCCACGTGCGCTGGAACCCCAACGAGAAGTTCATCGTGGAGAGTCGCGAGAACCCGGCCATCAACTCCTCCAAGCTGGCGCCGCATCCCCGCCTGAAGGTCTCCAAGAACACCAAGCTCACGCTGAGCCCCAAGCTGTACCTCTGCCACGACAAGCACTCGGAGCTGTGCCACAACAAGACCCAGCAGTTCCGCCAGCGCATTGTCCGGGCCTTCGAGAAGGCCATGGTGGAGTCGGTGAACGAGTCGCAGGCGAACCACTACAACGTGGACTACAAGCCCGTGTTCGGCGACAGCTTCGAGGAGCAGTACTACCCCTCGACCTGCCTGGTCATGGAGGCGGGCGTGCGGGTCCTGCGCCGCAAGGACGCGCCCTTCAACAAGCTGCCCTTCGGCCGGCTCTTCCCGCGCCAGAAGCTCTTCCGCAACGTGAAGGACATCAAGACCTGTGCCATCGTCTCCAGTGCGGGATCGTTGGCTGGCTCCAAGCTGGGCCGCTTTATCGGTGAGCAGAACTAGTAGTATGAAAAGCCTCCATTTGAGCAGCAATGCTTGTACAATGCATCCAACACTCGTAATTAACTTTTACTTGTCAAACTGGCCATACCAAGTTTCGCTGAGTGCAACTGCAGTGCACCCACCTGCATGCACAATCAGTCGGAAGAGGCCGCTCGTGATCGGCTTGACTTAGCCGTCTACTCTAATTCTGTTTATATTCTGGCCCACTGCGCTCCGTCCTGCTCCCAGACACGCACGACATTGTGATGAGATTCAATCATGCGCCCACGCAAGGACACGAGGTGGATGTTGGCAGCAAAACCACGATTCGTGTGGTGAATTCGCAAGTAGGCTGGAACGCAGTTCCGCACTCCATTTCGATTGCAGCTGCAATCTGCAATCTGCAATCTGCAATCTACTTTTCCCCTCCCCAGGTGGTCACCAAGCCGGAATTCGACTTCACCCGGGCCCCCATCTTCCGGAACGTCACGATCGCCGCCTGGGATCCCGGCAAGTACAATGGCACGCTGGAGGATTGGCTCACCAGCGCTGACTACGACCTCTTCACCAACTACGAGCTGTACAGGCGGCGCTACCCCAAGTCGCGGGCCTTCCTCATCGACCCCCACTCCGTGTGGCGCCTGTGGCAGAGTCTGCAGATGTTTGCCGGCAGCCGCCCGATCAGCAGGAATCCCCCTAGTTCCGGTTTCATAGGTGAGCTGTGTAGTGCATTTATTTATCCAACGGAGCATGGCAGCTCAGGTACTTGGAACTGTGCCTTGGGCCTGCAGTGGAAGTTGGCTTCTTGACAGTTCATTGTTGAGTGATTTCTGTGATGCCTTCCCAGGACTGGCCCTGCTCCTGCCGCACTGTCCCCAGGTGGACTTCGTGGAGTACGTGCCCTCCACGCGACTCAATGGACGCTGTCACTACTACAGCAAGGAGGTGGGTCCGAAAATGAATTAACTCAGTCTTTCAGCCACTGACTGCCTCCACTCCCAGATGAATTCCGCCTGCACATTCGGCTCCTGGCATCCGCTGGCCGCCGAGAAGCTGATGGCCCTGGACATGAACATGGCGGAGGACGACGACATGTCGGTCTTCCAGTTCGGCATCCTGCGGATTCGCAGGCCGGACAAACTGCTCTGCGGCTTCAACTTCTTCGGCTACTGAGGAGGAGCGCGATTCCCAGTTGCCAGTTCGCAGTTTGCAGTTCGCAGTTGCAGGCGGAAGTGGCAGTGACAATCCAGGTGCATTTAATCAAGCGGTTTTCATCGAGTGCAATAAACAATTGAACAATTCGACTTTGCAAAGAATACAAGCTGAAGTACACTTGGTCGAGTGGAGCGGGGGAGGAGCCCGGGTCCCAAGTGGATTCGTGCCTTTCGATTGCTTCTCTCGGCCGGCTGGAACAAAGCCGCCCAGCACAGAGTAGAACAGAGCAGAACAGAAATTATGACTGTCCCCATGGAGCCGTGTTTTCCTTAGCCATTAAATGCCATAACTGTTTGTCTACACGGGCGACCTGAGTGCAATAAGTATGAGTATAAGTATTATGATTGTTATTCCGGCCCAAGGATCTCGGCGTGGGCGTGGGCGTGGAGCGGAGTGGAGTGGAGTGGACGAGGTGCGGCGAGTTGGGTGGGTAAGAAAGCACTCATTAATACGTGATGCGGCAGGCCGAACGTGCGGCGACTCCAAAGTGACAAGACGTCAAGTAAACAGCGGAAAGTCGGTGTTATGATGGCAGTTTTTGGTCGTTTCTGCCGGCTCGGCTGGAGTTAAACGCTGCGTATGCGCGATTAAATAATGTATAGCAAAAATAAATATTGGGATTCCGTTGAACCAGGAACAGTGCGCAGAACCAAACTTATGGCCGAAGGGCACTGTGCAGCAGCTCAAGGAGCGCAGCTCGAAACCCGGAGTTGCAGTAGAGTGTGAGATGGGAGTTTCTTGAACCCGCTGGGCCACCTGCTCCTCCATCATGCCACTTGCAGGCAGCTTGCTCTTTTGCATTTCAACAGCCAGCCAGCCACAAAGTTCATCTAACTCGAGTCCACAATAACGAGCCGGCAGAAGTGCAGTCCGAATTTTTGATTTAAGCTTCCATTTCGGGCGTTTATTTGGCAAATGCAAATAGCAAGACGTTCACGTGTTTACGCTTGCCTCGGCCACTCTTTGTTTTGGTAATTGTGCAGCGCCCGGCCCGAAAATGGCCAAAAGCCATTGGCCATTGGCCATCGACCACTGGACACTGGACACTGGCACTTGGCCGGCGGTATTTTGACATTTTTACAAGCAGCTTAAGCTTAACTCTGGCTTTGCCACTCTGCCGAGTTCGTTGCCCTCGTGAGAACGTGTTTGCCATGCTGATAAGTGATCTGATAAATGCGCGAATCAAAATATGAATTTTATAGCTGAAAGTCATAAGTGACGGGTGCGCGTGTGCAGTCGCCTCTATGGAATAGGACACCCCCAAAAATCATCGACTTAAATTAATTCTACTTATCACTGGAGGCTTCCCGAGCGTGTTTTCAGTAAACTAAGGCAAAGTTCCCATCATAATGACGCACTTGGGACTCCCGAGGAGTCGAAGCATATTGTTTTCAGCATTTAGTGCCTGCATATGAGTTTGGCGGTGACTCACTGGCTGTTTTACTTAATTTACCGCATTTTTGTGTTAACAAGCGTCATTTGTATATATTGCATATTCTAATAAGCAGTGTATGTCTTCTATTTTCTTGCACTTGCCAGGCCTGTATAGCCAATTTTATTCTATTTTTAAATAGGAGTGTGTCACATTTCGTGTTCATCTGCCGTACTTTCTGGCTGCGAAGCCCCCACACCGATCCCTCTCATGTATGATCCAACTCCTATGTAGCATGCAAATTAAAAATGTTGCTTTTTATTGGATTTTTATCGACTGCTGAATGACAGGCCCGGCCGCCCGGAGGGTCAGCAGTGACATGGACGTGGACATGGACATCTGTTTTGAGAATCCACAGAACCTCCCCCTGAAATGTCAATTTGGGTCGGCTTCGATGTTGTGCTAATTGAAATCAAATGAAATCTTTGAAAGTTTGGATGCAGGGCTCGATGAGCCACTATGGGGCAGACGGATGACTCAGGGCCGAAATTTAAAAAAATTAATAGCTTCTCCCATTGCCTTTATTCATTTGCATTGCACGTTTGCTTAGCTTCAAGTGACTCTGGTCTGCTTTTGTTTCATCAAATTGTTTTTCGATTCCGAGAATCATCGGGATAGTCAGTCGTGCGCCGAAATAAAATATGAAGCATAACTTATGCACTCTTGTGGTTTTGTGGTCTTTGAAAAAAGGGTTACCCTGACGTGGGTGAGCACTGAGTGTAACTGTGGACACTAGGGTGATGCATCTGGGTGTGTCCGACCACCACAACACGTAGTTGATTCGGCCAGATCCAGACAAAAGATGGCTTGCACAAACAGCCTGCGAAGAGTCAAGGACGCCAGACTACTTTATGTACTTTTCATTATCTTCCAAAGAAATATGCGGCTGGGATGGCGGAGCAACTTGTCTTTTATTATGGGGGTGGAGCAGGTTCTGGCCAATAAATTCTGAGCAACTACTCCGCATACTAGTGATACATGTCAAGGATACGTGTCTATCTTCTCTAAAAAATAAACAGTTGAGAAACGATTTTAGGTGCACCATGTTGAGGTACTAACAACTCTCAAGTAAAACCGATGATTGCATTATTAGCTGAATGCCTGGCGTTGGCAATCGCACAAAGACCCCATCCGAAGGATTTCCTTTGAGATACCCAAAAGGAGTGGCCCCATCAATCAGTGCGGTTGATCAAACAATCACTCAATCAGACTTCCTGCTCGATTTGAATTGGAATTGCTCTTTTGTATCTAAAATCCTTAGTTTATTCGCCCGTGCGACAGCCATATCAAAATATTTAATTGCAACACAAAAGAAGACATCACCCTCGATTCGCCCCCGAATCTCCCCACAAATCTCGAATTTCCAGGTGGGGAGTCCGTCGGGAGGTGGCCGTTTGAGGAAGAAGCCAAGAGGACGGCATTCCAGCACGTTTGAGTGCGTATAAATCAAAATATAAGAACAATATAAAGCGAAATTTAGCATCGCGGCGAGCGGAGTCGAGGCAGAGTGAATCCAAGTGAATCAGTCTGTTCTGGAGCCGAAAATCGGTGCAAGTGAACTCAATGTGCCTATGCCACAGGCACCAAGAAGCCGGGATTGGTGCGTAACTATCCCGTTATCGGAACAAAACGAGGAAGCTCCCCAGCACTGCGAAAGGGGAGCTGACAGGGAAGGACGCGGGCATCAAGCCGAGCTGACTGACTGGCGTTTCGGATCTCGGATCTCGGAACGGAACGCTATCGGAACGGATCGCCTTGCCTCCGGCCATATAAAAGAATCTAAGCGGAGCGTCCCGAGTCTCAGTCTAGCGCAAAAAACGCACCCGAACTTGCAGTTACGGCAGCTTGCTGCGGAAGGCAAATCCCCATAAGATATAGTATAGCTAAGCAAATTAGCGAGTGTTAAACAAATTAGTTTGTGCTTCCGCTGCGTGAAAAGCTTTCTAGCCAGAGTGAAAAATTCAAGTCCGACTGAGAGCGAGAGAAAGCTGCGCCCTCAGGTGAATCATCGCTGGATCTAACAGCTAGCCAAAAGCTTGCTAACTGCTGGCTTGCAGCCCGCTAACAGCCCGCTAACAGAAAAACAGAAAAGGTGAGTCCTAGCCAAACAGAGCTTTGCCCAGCCCTGTTGCTGGTTTTCGAGAAATGCCTGCACTCCTGGCAATATCGAATGGAGTTTCATACAGGGAATGGTATTCAGTTGGGTAATATCCAATCGATCGCCATGTAGGTAGTAGTAGACTAGACTAGTAGTCTAGACTAGCTGGCTAGCCTGGCTAACTGAAGCCAGAAGAGAGCTAGTTCCTAGTCCTGTTGCTGCGCATTCACATGCAAGGGACGGAGAATGAAGGGGCGACCAGCCATTTCAACCACCACAACTAGGACTCCACCTATGGCGACTGTCTGTGTGAGTGAGTGTCGATGCTTACTCGCGTGACTCGTAAACTAGAGGCGAACACAGGCCCAGGTCTTAGCCATTAGACGCACACACACTCGCGCCCCATGGAAATACACAAGAGGGGCGGCGAAGACGACGCGCACATTATTTTGCTGCCACCACAAAGGTGGAAAGCCAGAATGGCGAGAGCTGGAACTGAAACTGAAACAGAAACAGAAAGCCAGACGAGTCGCAATCGGAACCTGCTGTGAATCGGTCGCTATCGTCGCCCGCGGAACAAGTAGTCTTGGCCAGAAACTGGGAGTAGGATAGTGCCCAGCCGTAGCGAAATCCGCCCAAGTGATAGTGACTATATAGTGACTCCGCCGCCTTATCAACCACGAAGATCTAATCGCCATCGGTCGCAGATAAGCCGATAAGTTCGGAACCGCGCGTTGGAGAACTTAGAGAAAACAAAAGGCGCTTTGTGCAATATTTGCTGAAGGAGCACGGGCACCGAGCTGATTATTTCACAAATTGGTTTATGCAAATGCTGTTTGCTCAATTCGTCTGTCGGCCGTATGCTAAGTAAGTATACCAAGTGACTCAGCTCCGCCGGGGAATTCCACTTTCTCGACTCCGGGCATCAATGGCCAGAGCGATCTCGGTACGGACTTTGCATTTGACATTGCGGGCGGATCACAGAGGCGGCCGAACAATGGCACGTAGGAGCTTTGTGGCATTCCGATACATGAATACATATAATTATAGGCACATCAGATACTTCACATATTTCATACACTGCACAACCGCTGCCAAACGACTATCGAAGCCTGACCGTGACGTGATTGAGTTGAGCAATAGTTTTTCGCACTCAAAGTCAGAGGCGCGCACTCTATTCAAATAATATACAATACCACGGGTATATTCATATACAATTAGCATTATCTGCCCCATCTGTATGACAATTATATGTTCTGCTCGGCCAGGTGGCACAGTTCAAAGGCAAAAGTCAATGCGAAATCGTTTGAGTCCAAGCGGCGTGGAAAAGTTCATTTCACTGCCGACGCAGACCACCAGCCTTAATGCCATCGCACTGGATCGCATCGGGATGGGCATGGGGCATGGTCTAAAAATACCATACAACCATAAATAGTTGTCTTTAAGGCCAGAAGAAACTCATAAATATGCCATTGTTCCGATGGCGGAGCAGCAGGGCAAACTGCATCGCACAGCGGGCGACGACGACAAGTCAACTTGTCCACTGCCATAACAGAGGACTATGCGAGTTTCGTGTGTATATGGGCACAGATCCCAGCTCCCAGCTCCCAGATCCTAAGCCCATGGCCCACAGCCCCGAGCGCAGAGCAGATGGGCAAGCAAAGAGGGCTGACAGCAGGCCAGATGCACTTGGTCCGTGGATAAATGGCAGCAACAGCATCCGATTTGCCTCACAGCCGCCGCTTTGTTCTGCCAAGTTGTGCTCGTTGTATGTGCCAGCTCCATAAAGCGAATCAGGAACTGTCGTAAAGGCGAATGTCGCCCATTATCTGGCTGTCGGATTCGCTCTTCGTTCTCCAGCTGCACCCCAGCTGCATCCCAGCTGAACCTTTGGCTTGGGCTGGTAGCCAATTGCCCTGGGCGGTACTGGATTTGCTTGCGCTAGGTAGCAATTTGCTTCACGTGGCCGCCGGATTTCGAGGCTGAGTCACCCCAAATTGCACTCAATTGATATTAATGGGATGGCGCAGACGTAGGGCACTATATTATCGATTCCCAGAAGAAGATGCGCAGAATAGCTTATTAGCACATCGGGGTGTTGTAGGGCAGACGTGTTGATCTACAAGATTTAGAAAAGCAAATACGGCTATCAACCACAGTTAGCTGTACACATTTATTCCATCTAAATATATAATAATATGAACAATATGAGTAATTGCTCTGCTCTCCTATCGTTAACCAATATTACTGTGTTTCCGATACAAACTTGATTATTGCTCTGGAACTTACGCATTACTCATACGCCCATTGAGAAACCGCTTGGTAAGGGAAATCCAGAAGGCATATTCATATTCATTCATAAATAAGTATATGTTAGCTGCGGCGTTTGGCCAGTCGGAAATTCACTCGAATTCCCATGCGAATTTCAAGAAACAAGACCCCCTGAGTTGCAGGCGTTTGCCAAAGGGAGCAGGGAGCAGGGAGCAGAGTGTGCCAAGCCTACGGATAAGCTGCTGAGTGCCACCGCAGCGGCTGCTGTTGGCTGGACCAGCGGCGGATGACGCATGTGCGGCGATTCCAAGAAGCGCATTACTCATGCGCGCTCTCCAGCGAGAGGGGGGTGGAGTGGAAGGGGGGCGGGGAGTGCGGAGTGGAAGGAACAACTTCGATTATTGGCAACAGGTTTCGGCAGTGCGTCGCTACGTAAACTCTCTCTCCCTGCTGGCCCCGAAAGCTCTCGGCTCCGCTCTTCGAAAGCTCCACTCGCGATCGCCAGTCGTCGTCGTGCGCCAGCGAGCGCCGAAGATCAGTTGAATTCTGCGCGCAGGCCAGGGCGGATGTGTTGAGCGGCGAGAAACCGAAAAAGTCAGTCGATACGATAGTCGATAGAATCAGAATCGCAGCTAGTCGCGAAGAAAGTTATTCGAAAAGTGAAAGAGTTCAGTTTTGGGTATTGAGTTTTGGTTTCGAACGCGGAAGCGAGCGCGAAAATGGAAGTGCCAGCGGGCAATTAGTGCAGCCAGACACACACACTTGAGTACTTATGGACATAAAGACATAAAGACACACTCGCAGCTCGAAAATACAGCAAAAACAAAAGGATTGCGACTGTGAATTATAAAGTATAAATTATAAGCAACGACAACACATCCACAGCGGAATACGCAGCGACGACAGCTACAACAAACAACAGAAGGAAATGTATGTGCCGAGAGCTAATTAATTAATTCGTAAGTGTTGCAAGCGACATGCAGCAACAAAGGCGGCAGCAGCAGCAGCAGCAGCGGCGATAGTTCATTGATCTGCAACTGCATCCCACTGGCAGCCCAGCTAATTGAAAGGTCAAGCAGCGGGACCAAGCCCATTCATCAGGCCTAACCCCACCATTGAGCACTCCGCTTTGGAGTGAACTTGAACAGCGCTGCAGATTGGGGGTTTCGACACCGCTTGCCCAACCCGGTGTGTGATATGGCTATCACTAAGGTCAAGTTCTAGTAACACTTGGCCACTCATTCCCGAACTATGCATGCGCTAACTCAGAACATAACTCCTGTCGATCGCCACCATATCTTATCGTCCCCGGTGCGTATTCATCGGGAAAAGTTTGCTGATAAGGTTAACAATGCCAAAAAGCTATATCAAGTGGAATTTGGTGTCGTTAAGCAGTTCGAGGGTATTTTTCAACGCACGTCAGCAAGAGTCGTTCTTGGCGAAACTGGTTGGTGGCCAAATGTATTTATTATTTTAATTCGTGTATGAATGTGCCGTGGCATCCAACGCTTGACTCACGCCTCTTCGCAGAAATCCAAACCTGGAACATCGAGTCAGAGAAGATGGGAAGGAGCCGGCGAACCGGTTTGCTGCTGGCCAAATCCACCTTATCATTACCCAGTGGAAGCCCTGCTTCTGACCCAATTCTGAACATCGAGCACGCACCCAGACGTGTGCTACATGTCGTATACGTAACGACTGCGATAAACGAAGCAGGGCAACTTTCGCGCTGAATGCAGTTTCCCCATCGATTGCTTAGCCCAAGCACTCAAAACTCACTCGCCTTATTGATCTAACAGCGGGGAAATGCGTCCACTGTTATGACAACCCCACAGTCCCACAGCCCCAGGGATCCCCACTTTCCCCTTCAACCCATCGGCCCATCAGCCGGGTTAACCACACGGCGCTAACCTTAAACTGTCAGCCCGCCGACCTTCAACCCGGCCGAAACATTTGCCCAAAGAGAAAATGGGAATTGTTTATGGTATTTGCTTAGCGAAATTATTGTAATCAGATAACAGCGGCGGGCCAATGGGCTGTGCGTATATTAAAAACATATTCACCGGCTATTTGGCTGTTTAACTGTTTGGTCGGATCTAGCGGCTAATTGCCTGGCATAAAACAGACTGTTAGCTGCGCCGCCCAGAAGGCCCCAGCTTTAGCCCAGATTAGTCAGCCACAACAAGAATGACGGGCTTAAGTGTTCACTGTCCGCTCCAGATATACTCGTACACGAATATAGTACATACATAGATCATGTATTTGCTACGCTGAGCTCCACACGGCGTGTACTTGATACGAATTATCGCACTTTTCGTCTCGTGCTCCGCTAATGTTGCTCGCATCTCGACCAGCGTTGGGGCACGATCTAGTGGGCTAAACATCTCCATAAACATACAAGTCTCTCGCCCTAGGTCAACACCATCCCTATCAACAGAAATGCGAGCGACCGCGGAAATCTGCGCTATATTTAGCAGCCAAATATCGGAATATCAACAAAAGGCCCACAGCGGTTATGGCCGACCTGGTATTTACCAGGCTAAAATTAAATTCTAGTTGGAGTCTAAACTTACACGGTTTATGGCGCTGTTTATGACGTCCGACCTGTCCAGACACCAGACCACATGACTTTCTCTTTCTCCGCCGCTGAAAACATCGCGAGCAGGACAGCTGGTGCTCCGAGGGCTCAACGAGTCCGCGATGCTCTCGGGGATTAGGGAGACACCGAGGCACAGATATGGTGGCGGGTTCTGCAAACTTTGCTCTGATAAGGGGACAGTCTAGGCCCGATTGATGGCTTGACAAGATGTGAGAGTGCACTTTTCGGACAGCTCGTTTGCTCGTTTGCTCCCACAACAGCAAGTGTTTTTTGTTTGAGCTCGTGCATAATGAAGGGTGTACCACACACCACACAAGTGTTGTGCTATTTCTTACTGCAACGTGGTATACTGGTAACTGTGTATACTGGTAACGCCGGCCACTTCCGATTGCCGTTCCACCTGCCACACAGAATGTGTGCCACATTCAACCTGTTGGAAAGTGGTGGTGGAGCGGAGTGGAGTGACTTCCGTTCGCCCTTTGCACTTGTACTTGGCCTGCTCCCTTTGCAATCGCCCTGTTCCTGTTTGCTGCTGCTTTATTACTCGGCCGGCTTTATGAAATATTAATTGACCTTCTCCCACCTTCACCCTTTGTCTTTGCAGTGATATAAAGTTCAAAGTGCCAGCGGCAAGTGGACGAGAAGTGACAAGTAGACCAAGTAGAGACCAAGCCACCAACAACAGCCACAAAATGACTAACTGCCAAAGTTCAGCGTTCATCGTCGTAGGCACCGTGTTATCCATCCTGGTAGCGGCCCAATCGGCACCCGTTTCCACCACCACACAGGCAGAGGTAAGTTTATGCACAAATAGTTAAGTTATTAGCGGAAATTACATTGTTATGGTTCCCAGTAAATTGCTAAATTGAATCGGACTTTGCCGTTCATCTATAATTTATATAAGAGATGGTAGAATCGGGGAATAATGACATCTAGTATTACAAAACTGAACAGGAACGAGCTGGGAATGAAAATGAATCAGAGTCAGAGTCAGAATTAAAAAACGATTCTGAATCCGAATCGGTTTTTTGCACTTGCGATGACGACAAGTGCACGAGATAGCCGCTTTGTCTGCTCTGTCTGGCCGATTTATAATATATATACATATATAGTCCGTGAGGCTCCACTTCCGATTTGCATGGCGGGCGTGCCAGGCGCTCAGAGCTGCGATTTGCGATTTGCGATTTGTGATTTGCGAGCTGGATGCATTCGGGAATCATACCCAATTTTCCGCCAGACAAAATGTTCCGTTTCCGTACTCACGAGTGTGTCTGTGCAACAGGCTCACGCGCATCGCAATCGCATGTCAACGGAATTTATTCCGCTCACACACTCGGCTTGGTTTTGGCCCGGCTCAGAGGTTCTGGCCTTAGCCTTGGTTGGACGGCTGGAAAGTGCATGCCGGCGGCTAATTGCAGTCTGATTATCGGTATCGCTATCGCTATCGCTCGTGACATTGGCCAGCGGAAAACGCGGCTTTCCACCAGGAAAACTCGCACGCCATTCGCGCTGCCATCAGAGACAATCATCATTTGCCAACGATTTAAAATAACAGCACCGCGACTTTAAAAAGAAATTCCAGAAATTCCCTTCATAAATTTGTTTAGTGAATTTCCAAGAAATCAAGTGCAGTGATAACAACAGAAAATAATTCAATTACTTATTCTTTTTCTTATTAAAAGTATGGTTATTATAAAGAAATGGTCATAAGCCATTTAAATTTAGAAATGATTCAAGTGCTCAATCTTGGTGGGAAATTCCAGTTCTATAAAGACCCAGCTTAAGCTGCCATTCTATTCAGAATGGCGCACCCAAAATGCATTAAGTTCCAGCCACCAAAAAAGTGATAACGCCATAAATAATTACTTTCGATTTGCTGAATAATTCCTGCCCGCGGACAACTTGATTTCCACGCTTTCGTTTTATAAATTTATAAATATTTATCTCCGATTAATTGCTTGTCATGATCGCTGTTTTGCTGCTTCGCCGAATGTAATTTGCAATTACACATTCAGCAATCCATGCGCTATCTACCCGAAGCTAATCACGTTTACTTGCCACAGACTGGCATAAATTAATTGGGAAGACGCGGAGAAGCGGGCCCAGAACTTCCTGATTACCCATGTGCGATCGCCGCCTCCAGCAGGTGATGATATAGATATAGATATAGATACAGTACATCCAGTGGATTCGCCTTATATCGCTGCGACTATACCTCATCACGCCACGCATTAGCGCGTGCTTAACTTTGATTCTAGGTTTATTTATGTTTTACGTAACTCGCCGACTTCTAATTGGTATGTTGGGCGCGTTGGCCATAACTTGGCTCGTTGTCGCTAGCCAGTCGCCCCAAAAGCAGCTGAGGCGACGGTGTTACGTGTTTGTCTCTCCAATGTCAGGTTCTTTGTTCTCAGATCCCTCCCGATGCCAAACGCTTTCCAATAAATCTCCCGGAGAATGCAAATCGTGCAGACCACCGCCGGAGCAGGGAGGAAATCGTGATTTCGCCCCCATCAGATAGCACTTTCTCAGGCGCGATGCGATCGGAGCAGGAAAACTGTATCTATTTCCCAGTGAGTCATGGCCAGTGCCAGTGGCGAGCATAATGGAGCTGTCAAGAGGTTAATTACTTGGCCAATGAACGAAACTGAAAGTCACCCGGGCATTCGTCATCGTAGTGGGCGCAGAGCAGCAAAACAGAGCAAAGACCCACATAACTTTCCTGCTCTAAATATAGCCAATCAAGTGCAGTAATTCGCAAGTTACCACCCATCATTAACGGCCCGCTTCCTGGCCAGAAGCAATCGATAGAGTGAATGTTTGCCATTCGTATCCGAGTTTGATTGATTTGCCTACGAAATAGTTGCGTGCGACCTTCGCGAGGTGCCAAATGCACAAACAAACGAACAAAAGGCTGCAACAGCCTTGCAGAGAGCACTTGACAAACAACTGATAGTTTTTGCTGCTTTGAGCCAACATCCTTTCTCCTTTTCAGGCTTCTCCAAGGTCACTCATAGCTTAGCGTTTCACGCGTCTCGCCATAAACAACCTGGCAACTGGCAATCCGAAAAAGGAGCGGAATGGCAGCGGCAATAAAATCCTTTTTTGCCTGACTTTGCATGAATAGCGCTTTTTATTGTCCGGTTATCTTAGCATCTTGACGCTTATTTATCGCTGTTTGAAATTAGCCACTTGCGGGAAACGGCGCTGCAAAAAGGCAGACACCTTGTGGAAATGTCAAATATTCCGTGGGAGTTTCCCGCCAAGCAGCCTGAACTGTGCCTTATTTTTGAACCTAAAACTGACTTCAAAGTTCATTCCATACAAAGTCCTTGCAAAACCAGCTCGAAGTTCTTTCAATTTAATCCCCTCTCCCCAGCTGCGTATTAAATGGAAATCATTATACAACTTTAAGCCGCATTGGAGACTGCCGTTGGCCCAGTTTCTGTTTTGGTTTTCCCGGTCTGGCTTGCTTTCGCTATAGTTTTGAGTTTTCTTTTCAATCTGCCCAACCTGGCCAATCTCCCCAATCGGCTCGTTATGGAAGCCCCAAAGAAGTGCCGCCAAATGAGGCGCCTGCGCTTCGATTTGCCACTGAGGGGCGAGGGGAGGTGACGTAATCGCCGCGCTAAAACATTTAAACTAGTTAATCCTGTTTGCTAGTTGGCGGCGAGATTGGACAACTCAAATTGCACACGGCTGCGGTGGGAAAATCGCAGGGAAGCACTGGGAAACACAGGGAAAACTCCGCCATTTGCCTCTAATTGTCGCAGACACTTTCGCTTATGCACGTGCTACGCAAATGTGTGTGCAACTAGGTCTAGGTTTGCTTGCAGGCAATTTTCCTGGGCAAATGCAAATGGAAATGGAAGTGGAAACCCACGCGTAGCGGACGAAAGTCAATGGCCTGGCTGACCCACATACCGCATTCCTTCCCACGTCAGCTAACCACGCACCCCCGAAAAACGCTGAACGTTCACCCCAGAGTTTTCATTCGCCAGCTTTCCCGCTGGCCAATAATTTTCCCATCAATTTCCAGCGGGCACGTTGGCGTCGTATACGAAAAGTGTACACAAAGCGATACTCGTTTATAATTTATGCATGTCCTGTTCTTGTTTCTACCGGAAATAAACGGGGCGGAGCAGCACGCCTCCCATTGAAATGGGTGAAAGTTCAATGACTCCACGAAGGAGCTGCCCCCAATGCCATTTCCCCTGCAATTCAAATCCACTTGGCAACTCGCAACTCGCAACTCGCAACTTTGCACCTGTGCACCTGTGCAAATTGTGTTAAATATTTGAAGGTTGCACTGCGATTGTAGCATACTTTCCCGGGCTCACACACTCCTGCGGCTCCTGGCCAAGTCGAGCTCTACATTCGAGCAGTTGAGCAAGTTCAACTCCTTCGGCCAAGTAAACCAGGCAAGCAGGTCAGCCAGCTGAATAGACACCTCGCCCCACAAACTGGCACTTGCTGGGTAGAGGAGCACACATACAGAAGTGCATAAATACTTTCGGGGTAGGATGGTGTGGTAGTAGTCCAAGCCCTAATTAAGTACACTATTGGTAGATGTATGAAGTTTGCTGTTAGGGTTATTCTTTCCAACTCGTCTCCACTATCAGTTAGATTTGCAGTGAAATTCGAGGAGTTCTTGTTGACAATTCTGTTTTGACGGTCCGCCAAACAGCGGAGCGCAAAAAGTGTGTCAATGTGCAGCAATAAATTGAAGTGCAATTTCAACGCCCTACGAATCGTGACCGGACTGCAGTGGCCCTCACCGCTGGAGCGGGTATTATTTCCAATGATTTGCATCTGTCCGACCCGATCCCGCCGAGAATCGCTGATCACATGCAAATGCGCGATAATCCAAAGCGCCGCGGATGCACTCAAATCTGCTAGCTCTGCGAGCAGCTGAATGGGAGCCCAGATCCATGGGTCCCGAAAGTGTAAATTGGTGACTCCCACTTCCGGTTCCGCCCCGACTTCCTTTCGCCTTGTGACGCACTCCCTTCTGTATGGAAAATGCGTCAGAAATGACTCAATGACGGACAGGTTGAGAGTCTTTTGTTTGCTGCCAATGGGGGTTATCTTATCGATAGAAGATAACAGACGAGCCGCGTTTGAGAACCCGAACAATGCAACCGATGGTTGTCACATCGCAATCCGCTGGAATACCACCTTCTCGGTGATCAAGAGGTTCGTGTCCGCCAAAGGGCGGCTTCTCACTCCGAGTAAGTACACAGATGAGTCAGTAGGACCACTCGGAGTCTCCTGCGTGGGAATGGGAATCTGGGTCTGGAGTGGATCTGCATCTGTCAGGAGCGGAGTGACAGCTGCTCTGCACTCGAGCCCTGCTTTGTTTACGGTTCGTTTACCTTTCGAGGAACGGGCCCAGCTGATCGGTGGCGAGAAGGCAAGAGTGGTAGCCAACCCACCCAGAAGATCACAAGATCACAAGATCACAGAGCCACAGAGCCACTGGCAGCGGACGCGACTTGAATACTCGCGGTTCCAGCGAAATGTTTACTTCCTCGCAGGCGGAAAGAACACAATAAAATTAACAGTCAGCTGGCATTATGCAAGATTCGGCAAATCATTATACAACATGTACTATACTATACATATACATGTGTGAGCGGCGGCATTAAGTCATTAAGAATGTGCGACACATAAACGGCCGGGGAACCTGATCCCCATGCCAAGTCGAAAGTCGTATTGCCGAAACGTTAAGCGCATAAAACAAGCGGTTGTAAGACAGTTTGCCGTTGTAATTGGCCAGAAAACCCATTCCATGTAGCTGCCCATAGCTGGAGCGTTGTGATCACTTAACTGTTGAGATAGCCTCGCATTGTTCTCCGCCGGCAGTGCACTTCCCTGATGGGCAAACTGTTTCCATTCGATTTCTCAATGTTACAATAAACAATTCACAATTTACAATTAGCCAGCGATCGCTTCCTTAATGCCGCCGATGCTGATGATCGATTAGGCGTTTTCACACCTTTCCCAGTCACGTCGCACGCGCAGTTTACCTGCACGGATATAGGTACACGCATATCAAGCATACGACATGGGGCCCCTCCCCTCTGGCTTACTTATACAAAGTGGCAGCCAGCGACAGAGTAGCCAGGACCAATCTGATGGCCATACATCAAGTTGGCCACGACGGGTGGCCCATTGGTCTGCTGCCATTGCCTGCTGAACATTGCGCCTAACCAGCCTTCGCGTTCTTCCCTCCTTTCAGATCTACCTGTCCCAGTTCGGCTATCTACCCGCCTCCGCCCGCAATCCCGCCAGCAGCGGGCTGCACGACCAGCAGACCTGGGTGAGCGCCATCGAGGAGTTCCAGAACTTCGCGGGACTGAACATCACCGGCGAGCTGGATGCGGAGACCATGAAGCTGATGTCCCTGCCGCGCTGCGGAGTTCGGGATCGCGTCGGCACCGGGGACAGCCGCTCCAAGCGGTACGCCCTGCAGGGCAGTCGCTGGCGCGTGAAGAACCTCACCTACAAGATCTCCAAGTACCCCAAGCGGCTGAAGCGAGTCGATGTGGACGCGGAGATCGGTCGCGCATTCGCCGTGTGGTCCGAGGACACCGACCTGACCTTCACCAGGAAGACTTCCGGCCCCGTGCACATCGAGATCAAGTGAGTAGCCCCAAAGCCTCAGTTCTTATTTCGGATGTTCATCTAAACTAATGGCCAATCCTCCTCTCTCCCCAGGTTCGTGGAGAGTGAGCATGGAGACGGCGATGCCTTTGACGGCCAAGGAGGCACCCTGGCCCACGCCTTCTTCCCTGTCTTTGGCGGAGATGCCCACTTCGACGACGCGGAACAGTGGACCATTGGCTCGCACCGCGGCACCAATCTGTTCCAGGTGGCCGCCCACGAGTTCGGTCACTCCTTGGGACTCTCCCACTCCGATCAGAGCGCCGCTTTGATGGCGCCCTTCTATCGCGGATTCGAGCCCTCCTTCAAGTTGGACGATGACGACAAGGCGGCCATCCAGTCACTGTACGGCAAGAAATCGTACCCGCTGAGGCCCACCAACGTGTACCCGGCCACCACCCAGCGGCCATACACTCCTCCAAAGGTGCCCCTGGACGACTCCATCTGCAAGGACTCCAAGGTGGACACGCTCTTCAACTCGGCGCAGGGCGAGACCTACGCCTTCAAGGGCGACAAGTACTACAAGCTGACCACGGACTCCGTGGAGGAGGGCTACCCGCAGCTCATCTCCAAGGGCTGGCCGGGATTGCCGGCCAACATCGATGCGGCGTTCACCTACAAGAACGGCAAGACGTACTTCTTCAAGGGCACTCAGTACTGGCGCTACCAGGGCCGCCAGATGGACGGCGTCTACCCGAAGGAAATCAGCGAGGGCTTCACGGGCATACCCGACCATCTGGACGCCGCGATGGTTTGGGGGGGCAATGGCAAGATCTACTTCTTCAAGGGCAGCAAGTTCTGGCGCTTCGACCCGGCCAAGAGGCCGCCGGTCAAGTCCAGCTATCCCAAGCCGATCTCCAACTGGGAGGGTGTTCCCAACAACCTGGACGCTGCGCTGAAGTACACCAATGGCTACACGTACTTCTTCAAGGGCGACAAGTACTACAGATTCCACGACGCCCGATTTGCCGTGAGTACTGCTGGCTGGGGAAGCACTTTCGAATGATGATACTAATAATAATACTTCCGCAGGTGGACTCGGCCACGCCCCCCTTCCCCAGGCCCACCGCCCACTGGTGGTTCGGCTGCAAGAACACGCCCTCGTCCACAGGTAATATCGTCGAGGGTTCGGACAACGAGTTCGAACAGCACTCCATGATCCCGCATGCCGACGATGGTAATGGTGATGACTTTGACGCAGGTGAGTGGGACCGACTCGGCGGTAGTTTTGTTTGAGGTTGAATCGATCTACTGGATCCACGAATATCGAGTCCCGAACTCGGAAAGTCAAAAAGATCTCATAGGAAGAAGTCTTGTATGAGTTGTTACTTAGCGAGAAGCAGTTACGAGTCATGAAATGATAATATAATGATAATAAATCCTATCTTTATGGTATGTTTAATTAAGTTAATGTCTATGTAGTGAAATTCTACTACTCAAGTCGATGTGTTTGTCTTTGTTGCTTATGGAAGAAATACATTTATAATACCTATTGAAAAACTAATTACCAAACTGTGTGTGTCCAATGTCTTTTGACCGTCTATATATGCTCGTACATATAGCGCCTATTTACATACATATAATGTAAAGAGTTTCCTTCTAATCTTGATTTTGTGGTGTTTTACTTTAGTTTTGTTTCAGTGCTTTCATGTTTTATTCGGTGAAAGTACTTTTCTATAGAGTAACCCTCTGAACGCAGCAACTCAATTTTACTGAGACCAATGTTTTAATAACATTTCTAACTACTGTACTAATATTGAAACTAACCCAACTTTGCTGTTTCATCTTCAAATAACTTGTGTTCTTTCCATTAACTTAACTAAACCAGGAAAACTTGTAAAACTAACGCCTTTGGTACTCTTGGTTTTTGACTCTATTGAACTAACCAACTCAATTTAGCATACCATGTACAAAGATACTTCAAAGGAAGAAATGAATACAAAAAACAAAAATAATATAATACCTTGCTTACAGTTTAATAGCCCAGAGAACATATAAGCAATTATCTACCGCAACGACAACAGCTTCCAAAACTACTGGTCAGTCGGTCTCACTAACTGTGGGTCGAGATCCACTCCACCGGAAACCATGGTCCTAGCCTATAAGTCACGATCGTAGCATGCGCACCTTCTAACCTAACCGCCTAACCAACCCAATATACCATCTGCAATAGTTACTAACTGGTTAACCCCAAGAACAAGCAACACTATCTGATAAACACCACAAATTCCGAAAATGGAAACCCCAAAAAAACACCCCACCCTATGCTCTAAGCTCCCTAGCTCCGTAGTTCCGTACTTCCGTAGCACTAAGTATTTATCTAGATATGGTACTGTTAATATTTGATCTTCCACTCCCCGAACTAAACTCTATACCCTGTAGTCAAAATCGCAGAACCTCGAACAAAGTTTGTGCGTAACCGTTTCCTTGTTTTGGCACCCTCGGCACAAAATTCCTAATGGCTAGTGGCTGGGTTGGGCCGCACCTGAAAACCACCCACTCACTCCACACCACCCAATACACACTCAACACACGCACACACGCACACACACACACACACACTCGCCCGAACTCCCCACGTAATTGCATGAACAACCGAAAGGGTACTAACATGGAGCAAGCAAAGATTCACACCTGCATGGCACGGAAAGTCGGAGGGTATTGTAAGATTGACGGGGGCTCTTTAAGTGACTTGTGATCCACTCCCGTTATGACCCAATCTCACTTAACACTCGCTTGCACGTGCCTGGCCCATAATCGTCTAATTTGCATTCAACAGCGGCCGAAAAATCCAAATGTATTCGTATTCGTATTCGTCATTGTCATCTGTCTGTACGTACGTACATGTATTTCTTGCAGGCTTTAAGAGACGCGGATACAAAAACAAGCACAATTAACCACAGCACACACCAGAAAGCACAACAGCAACAACAGCCGAACAAAACGAACATCAACGCCATACCGCCCACACCCACACCCACACCCATTACCACACCCACACCCATTACCACCACCCATTACCACCACCCCACTCCACCCACATGAGACACATCGCGCAGAAGAATCAGAAGGCGGATGGCTGCTTCTGGCTCTTCTGGCTGCTACTGTGCTCCTACTGCCCCCCGCCCCTCTTCCGTACCTTCTGTGTGTAGTTGTAGTCTGGGTCTGGCCATGCGATCCTTCCTGCTCACCCGTAGAATCATCCTGTTCGTAGACTGCTAGACCCCATCGCACATCCCGCCCCAGCGCATCTCTGACATTGCCGCATCCCGAGCATTGCTTTATGGTTTTATTCAATACTTTTGTTCTTTAAACGAATATTTTTATTTGCGGCTCGCACCGATACAGCACCGCAAGTGCCGAGTGTGAATCCCAACCCGAATCAGGGTATTCTGCCCAGCTGGATGTGGGGCATCACGAACAGATTCTTCTAGTCTAGAGGATCTGGTAGCCAGCTCATCCGTGTGTTGTAGCCAGTCCCGTTGTAATTTGCCAGCTTTAGTGTAATCCATCGCCCGCATGAGTGATCTCTGTCTGAATAAAGTAAACCATCCATCGAAACATACAAAACATGCCACGCCCACGAACTGCGCCGCCTGCCGAAACGCCAAGCCAAGTCAAATAGAAAGAAACGAGTTTACAGAGTGAAGAGTATGTTACATCAATTATTTTAATTTGAACCCTTAAGTTACTTACTACCTAAGTTAAACCTACTTTCTGTTCCGTTCTTAAGCCTCCATGCCTCCATGCCCCAGACTCCCCCGCCACGCCCCTAAAATACCACACCCGTTCTAAAACTTGTCTAGCTTAGATCTAAGCCGTTCTGCACAGAATGTCCTTTATCTGAACAGCCAACTAACTCGATTTCCCAACCCCTGTTTCCCTCAGCCGTGGGCGATCACCAGTCAAACGACGAGCCAATAGCCCCGGAAGTGGCCGAGCGAACCGGAAACGGAGCCATGTCCCAGTCGAAACTGACGAGCAGCTCCGCCGTGGGCACCGTGATCACCACCATCCTGATGTGCCTCGTCTCCAAGCTCATCGTTAGCTAAAAGAGCTAACGAGAAGACCCAGCCGAGAAGACCTACGGGCAGTGCATTTCGTGAACCTTAGCACAAAGCTAGCCACTCGAGTAAAGTTTCCGAGATTTGACACCTTGACACCGAAGTGATTGGAATTCAAATGGTACGCACATCATATCGAATACGACGAGAGGGAATCCAAAAAGGAATAATGAAATTGATACATATACAAATTGAAATCGAACAGAATATCAATTGTAAATTGAGCGATCAGCATGTGACACAGGTGCCTTATCAAATACTTTTGTTGTTTTGTACATAAAATCAGCCTTAAATATAATGAAATAGTTTATAACATTCCGCATTCTAACCACAAACGATCGGAAGTCATATCAAATCAGAAGTCCCCTACGTAGTAAGCTGTTTTGGTAATGACAAATTGCGATATTAAGTTTAACGAGCCATATGCCAGGAATTGAAGAGAACCACACAAAAGTTAAATACATTGGACGTAATTTAGTTTAGATATAATTGTTAATGTCGGCACATGGGAAGGGAACTCGCATGTTCCTCCAGCTGTGCTACAAATTCGGAAACGCAAGTGTTTTAAGTTTTAAAAACGATACGATACGTGACTTGACCACATATAAACTAATATGAAAATCATCATCGACTACACATGATTATTGTATAAGTGATATTTAAGAGAGTCCCTTAAACGATATTTCCTCGGGTTTAATATTTAAAACCGAATTATTTAACTTACGTATTATTATGTGTAATTTTATTTGATATACCATAAATGTACGCTGAAATAAGAGGAACTGAACAAAAACGAAAATAAAGAGTCGGATAAATAAAGACGCAGAAGTCCAATAAAAAATAAACTAAATTAGTATTCTTAGTAATTTGGTACACTGTAGCACGACAGCTTAAGGATCAGGATCGCGTTCTAGTTGGGCATAGAGCTCCTCAAGCCTGCCATCCTTCTCGCACTCGTCACCACCACTGGTGCTTCGCCTGAAGGGACCCGTGAACAGCCGTCCAAAACAGGAATCTGAGTAAGAGTAAGAGGAGGTGTGAGCAGTGAGGCAAAGAACTTGGTTGGAGTATTAACATACTTTTGGCTCTCTTCTGGCTGTCATCTGGGGATTGTGTTGTAGGCTTGCTAGCCGGCACGGGATCAGAGATTCCCAAATAGTCACACTCTTTCTTAATGTCTCGCATTAGGTGCACCTCATTGGAACGTGGTAAACCACCTGAAGGATTCGCGCACGGCTCTACCTTGGGGGTAAGATCAGTTATAAATGTATCTGCGAATGGAAAAGTAGTATTTAGTGGAAAGAAGCTAAGTAGGTTGCCAAATCGCATTTATATACCTTCTAAGGTGTTCTGCCTGAACTGCAAACTTTTTATAATGGCGCCGTACTCGGCCATTTGCCGCTTGAGCTTTTGAATCTCTCCCTCCTGTTCGCTGATCTTGCTCTTGCGCTTGCCGACGCTTGCGTTCTTGCCGTTGCCACTGGAATCTGAGCAGTTGTTGTCGCTGTCGCTAACTATGATCGACTCCACAGGCGGTGGGGATATGACCTTGCAGTCGGCATTGTCGTCGTCTCCGTTTGGCGATTGCAGCGCCTGGAAGGAGGTGGCGCACTGTACCGTGGGCATCCCCGCGCGCTTGCGTAGCCGCCGGTAGCGGACTGTGAGAGTGCGGCTGTTCAAGGGCGAATCGACCAGCTCCCTGAAGGCATCCATGGTCTGGTCAGGTGTGGCGTAGCGCACAAAGGCATAGCGAGCACGCTTCTCGCGCTTTAGCACTCCGATGTCCACTCGCATGGCGTTGGCGAAGTAGGCCTTGATGGCCGATGTAGTCATGTTGAACGGCATGTTGCCCACATACAGCGAACAGGGATCAATGAACTCGGCCTGCTCCTCGTCGGAGAATGGCTTAAGCTCCGCCCGAAGGTACCCCGTACCGAAGCGCACCTTGTTGATGTCGCAAATGGTGGCCTCCACATCGGCTCCGGCCCTTAGATGCACTAGACAGTATCGTGGCGCCACGCTGATGGGCAAGACCACGTCCCGAATCTCCTTTGACAGTCCTGCCAGCATGGTAGCAGTGATCTCGGGATCGGGGAAGCGGATGAGCAGCACCTCGGATGCGGGTGACTGGCCCGGTTTATTGGTCAACTCGCGTTCCAGGGCGAGGGCCCTTAATGTGTGCTCACGGCGCATTTTGGCCAGCTCCCGACGGGACAATTTGGCAGTGTCGGCTGAAGGGAATGGTTGTAAAAAAGAGTAGTTGGACATGGACTTAACAGCTTACGTTTCTTGTTGTCACTGGTGGTCTTCTCCAGCTCGGCGTCGTTGTCCAAGCACGGCTCATCCGCGCTAGATTTCCACGGCAGCAGTTGGCTGCCGGCGGGAGTCGACTCGAACAGGTAGGACTCCAGCGAGGGAGTGCATCCGTTGCCCGTGAAGGGTGCTACGTGCTTGCCCAGAACGACTTGGCTGCCGTCGCCTCCCGAGGAGGCATTGCCTAGATCATCGGTGGTACCGAGACGCTTAGCGTCCGGACCGTCGCCGGATTCAAGGGCCGCGCGTTTCGAATCCATTTTGTTAAGGTATCAAAAATACAAATGGTACCCGTCCTATGGAACGTGTTCCTAGCTAAAGTTGTGGAAACTGGAAAAGACTGTTCTACAGCTGTGTTGTTTACCTACTGAATCTTTTGGGGAGTAGTGAGCTTCAAATCCTTATCCGAAACTGACGCAAAATTCGTAGCTGCTGCGACCTGGCAGTACGGCAACTCCAACGTACAGCTGATTTCACTCCCGCGCAACCCTGGAACTACGATGCCAGAAATTCTTCTTTGGAAACGATGGGGCAGTGCCGCTGATTGCAGCTGATCGCGCTGCCAGACTGTTTTCAAGTAATATATAAGGAAACACAAAATGTGTGCGGCCCTCTTACGAAGTATTAAATGGGTTCATTTGCGGCCAACATCAGCTAAGCCGAGTTTCCAGCGCTTGCAGTAAGGCCTATCTAGCTTTTCCCACAGTCAGCCGAATCACTCCACCCTTTCTCATTCAGCACCAGCAGTTGGCTCCGCAAGTGGCGGAATGTCTCCTCCGGCGAAGTGGAAAGGAAGCTCCTCTTTGGCGACAGGCTTCCGGATAGCTATAAGCTCATCTACCGGGCCCCTATCGAGAGCTACGTGACCTGGACGAAGAACATATCCACTGCCACGACCACTATCCTGGCCGCGGTGGCCGCCTATCACTATGCCACCACCAAGAACTACCTAAATATGGTCCAGACAATGGACATAGCGATTCTGGTGTCCCAGGAATCAGATCTGTACTACTTCGTGGGTGGATTTCTGCTAATAAACCTGGCGATTCGGACTTTTGTCGCCAAATATCCCCTGAGAATATACAAGAGCACGGAGAAGTAATTCGGATAAGAAAGTACATTAAGTTCATAGGCAGTAAATGACCTTATTTCTAGATACGTTGCTGTATACGGGTCCCAACTCCCAGTGGGAACTGTGAAACACTATTTCGAACGAGGTCAAATAGCTGAATACAAAAACATACTAAATCCCTGGAGCCACATTATGTACAAACTCGGCACCCGCTCCTCCATGCTTCTGGTGGATTACTTCAAGACGCCCTCGGAGTTCCACCAACTATTCGAGACCAAGCCAGAAACGTAGGCTTTTTATATTGTTTATAACTGTGTAAAATAAAATGGGAAAAACGTTCCTTTTGTTGAAATATTTGTAATTTCGCGCCCATATTCTACCGGTAATACCAGGGATGGATTATCATTTTGGGTACTGTGCCGATCAGCTGTTCTGTTCGTTAGTTTTCATCAACAGTTCCACGTGCAAATGGAACTCAAGAAAATGAAACCATTAAAAGACGACGCTGCCGAATCCCCGCCAGAAACGGGGGCCCGGAAGCGCCGCAACCCGTTCAACACACAGAGGCTGAAGGAGGAGAAGGAGCGCCGCCAGAAAAAACGAGCGCGTCTCATCGTGCGCAACATCAGCTACAAGTCCACGGAGGATTCGCTTCGCGAGCATTTCGGACAGTGGGGCACGTTGGAGGATGTACACATACTGAAACGCGGCGACGGGAAGCTGGTGGGATGCGCCTTCGTGCAGTACGAGACCATTAACCAGGCCACCAAAGCGATCCTGAACTCCAACGGCAAGGAGCTGCTCGGGAGAAAGGTATTTGTGGACTGGGCTTTGGGCAAGGACGAGTACGTGACGAAGAACCCCAAAGAGGAGGAGCCGGAGGAGAAGAAGCCAAAGGTGGAAGTGAAGGAAGAGAACGGCGACGAGAAGGAAGTCAAGGTGGAAAGCGAGGAGGAAGCTGGAAAGGAAGACGCCAGTTCTGGGGAGGATTCTGATGCGGAATCCGACGAAGATGAAGAGGACGCTGGGGAATCTGAGGACGAAGAGGACGAGGAAGACCATAAAGAGAACAAGGACGAATTAAAATCAAAATTGGACATCGAAAATGTGAAAAAGGAAAAGCAAATATCCAACGACGTCCAGGAGGGATGCACGGTCTTCATTAAAAACGTTCCCTTCGATGCAGAGGATACCGACTTGAGAAAGGCGTGCCGCAAATTCGGCTTGGTCAGCTACGCCATAATCAATCGCCAGGCGGTTTCCGGGCACTCCAAGGGTACAGCCTTTGTTAAGTTCAAGGCCAAGGAGTCAGCAGATCTTTGCCTGCAAGCTGGAACGGAGTTTAAGCTGATGGATGAGGTCCTGGATCCTCATCCCGCATTGAGTCGCGAGGAAATGAAGTCGAAACAGTCGCAGGAAAACAAAAAGGACGATGCCAAGGACTCGCGAAACCTGTATTTGGCCAGGGAAGGTCTTATCATGTCTGGAGCGAAGGCAGCCGATGGGGTTTCGGCTTCCGACATGGCCAAGCGACACGAGCTTGAGCAGGTTAAGACGCAGGTGCTCAAGAACTTGAATCGGTAAGAAATCGGTATTAACTGCACATAATCAGCGCATTGGTGATCCAATTGATTATCCTCTAGGTTTGTTTCCCGCAACCGCTTGTCCATTCACAATCTTCCCCAAAACTATGACAATGAAAAGCTGAAGCAAATGGCTCTCACCTATACTGGCTTCCGACCCCACGAATGCCGGGTGATGAGGGAACATAAGGTGACTCCTGAGCATCCGCAGGGCAAGTCCAAGGGTTTTGGTTTCCTATCCTTCGACACGCATCAGAGAGCTCTGGCCGCCCTGCGGAAACTAAACAACAACCCCAATATCTTCGGAACACAGAGTGTAAGCAGATTACAGACAACCAACCATTTCACTAGCTAATTTTTCACTCTCCTAGCGCCCCATTGTCGCGTTCAGTATAGAGGATCGTGCTGTGCACAAAATCAAAGAAAAGCGCACGGAGCGCTCCAAGCAGAACAATCCCACATACCAAAACAAACAGCAGGAGCGCAAAGAGCGTCGCCAGCAAAAGCGAAATGGTCAGAAGACCAAAACTCCGGCTCCCCAGGCTGACAATAAAACGAAACTTCAGAAACATATTAAGAAGCTCGAAGCTTCGCGAGCAGCCAAAGCCGAAGGTAAAGCCGCGGAGAAAAAGCAGCTAAGCGATGTGCAGGGCGACTTTGTGGGCACGGCAGCCAAGCCGGGCACTTCGCTGAAAATGCGATCCAAGAAGAAGATTGTAGAGCAGGCCAAGGAGCACTTGAAGAAGGTGAAGACCGAGAAGCGCAAGCAGAAGAACAAGAAGATACGCGAGTCCCACCTGGCGGAGCGCAAGGCCAACAATCGGCCCAAGCAGGGACGTAAGAAGGAAACGGATGAACTTCGGCCCCTAATTAATAAGTACAAGAACATGATTAGTGGAAATCAAGGAGGTGGCGGTGTTACGGGAGGTAAAATCAAGAAACCTAAGCGCACCAAGTGGTACACGGAGTAACGCGCCCTTCTCTAGGATAAGAACTATCTTAAATAAAAGTGTAAATGGTAAAATCAATCCAGGTAACTACTGCCAGGTAAATTGGGACTTTTTCTTGGGATTAGAAGCGGAACATCTGCTTTAGCAATGATTCTACCTGGCAAGTCGCGTATAGTGCATATATAGTCGGCCAGTGGACCAAGCTCGTTAGTATTGCATAGCAGTGACTGTGAAGTGCGTCGTCCGCATAAAAATAAATATATCTTCAAGATGGCTCCCCGAGAGAAAGTTGAATTCGTGCTAGTTCGCCTGGCCTTTGTTCCTTACATGTAAGCAATAATATGAATATCTCATATCTTCAGAAGCTCATTCAAGTTCCTGTCGCAGAAATCCCCTGTACCCGCGCATCAGCTACCAGATCAGAAAACATCCTCCCACCGGATCGATCATCCAAGTGCGCGATTGGTTCGAGCACGTGATGATGAGGGAGCGCTCCAAGCTGCCACCAGATGTGAACATACGCTATGCAGAGTGGCGCATCATCACCGGCGACATGGAGCTGTTCCAGGTGCAGGGTTTCCGCTTCGATAAGATCATGCTGGTGCTGGGCGAGGAAAACATCTCGTGGGTGTTCTATCAGAACACGCCGCTTTACCGCCGTATAGAGGGCAGCGCCTGCTTCCCCGTAAGCTACTGCGGATGCTGCCTGAACAACCAGTACCTGGACATTATGGCCAAAATCAAGCAAACTGTGTCGAGGAAAAAGATACGATGAAATAAATATATCGAGTACTAATGGAAACAAGAGTTTATATTAAGATGAACGCTTTCAAATTTCACTACGCGCTGCCAGCTGTCTACTCGAGCCAGTGGAAGCGGGAACCGTACTTTGCTGGCGGCTTGGGGTAATCCTCGGGCAGACCGGGGGTGGCATCGGGATAGGAGACCTTCTCCTCCTTCTTCGGTGCTTCGCGTGCTGAATGAATGACCTGAAAACGGAAGTGTTTATCTGTGGTCCGAAGAATCCCTGCTGGGAGATTACCTTGGCCCGCGCGAAGTATCCATAGGAGGGACGATCCCAGTCGAAGTTATCCTTGATGCACTTGTCGAACACTCCCTGGGTCTTGCGGCAACTAATGTAGGGACATGATTTGGTATATCATGCTAGGAACATTCAACATATAACGAGTGCTTACTGTGAAAAGGCCATGGTACCGCTGCTCTTGTCCAGGCAGGTGGCGTACTGCGTGAACTCCTCATGGCAGGTCTTCTTCACCTTGCGGAAGAAGTCCAGGGCGCAGCTAGTCACAGCTTTGCCCTCCGCCAGACAGGCCCGCGGGTCGTCCAGCTCCTGCCGGCACAGCATAAACTCCTGAAATTACACGGAAGAAAAGGTAAACAAACTGAGGGAAGTGACTTTTGAGGTTAGGTTATATAACTAAACCGCTCCGATTTAGACGAGGCAACGGCTGCCAGCTCCACTTTAAGATGCTTTTCAGCTGAGCGTTACTATGATGAGCATTTCCCTGCAATCTGGAGGTACTAACATTATTGGCCTGCTCGCATTGCTTGCCCAAATGGAAGGCGCCCGCCCGTAAGGCCGCCGACGAAAGATTTAGCTCCTGGACGTTCAGCTCCGACTCCTCGGGCAGTGTTGTGTTGTTGGTGATGACCATAATAGCGTTGCAGTCCTGTGCGATCAACCAAAAACCTGTAAGGCTTTGAAATTTAGCAAAAAACAAAAAAATTGTTAGATTTTGTTAATTTTACGTTTGCCTACAACACAACAGCTGATTTTGATCCAGGGCTGCAGAGAAGTAGCTGTCAATGCAAACACCTATCGATAGTCAAGTCGTGCCACAAAGTCATCGATGCAGGCGCTCAATTCGAATTAAAATGATTTCCTTAATCTTATACATGTTTCTATTTTATAGTGCGGCAGCTGAGCGTAATTTAAAAGTAGTTAAGTATGAGAACTCGGTCGACACCATTGTTAGGGACCTCATCGCCAACTGGCAGTCGCCACTTGATTACCTGAAAAACCGCGGCTACCTGCCGAAAGATGCACCCGAAATGGATTTCCAGCAGCTGCAAGGGAGATTGGTGCCCGAATTGTCGTTAAAGGACTTAGGTGAGCTCAACAAGGATTCCAAACGGGAGGCGGACACGAAAAGCACAGAAAATGCGGCGGAACACATGGATCCGCGAGCAGTCCGATCTCCACAACAGCCGAAGGACCTCGAGCTGAAGAGGATGTTCCAAACACTGTTCTCTTCCAGCGACAAGACTGCCTCCGAGGAGATCCAGTCCAAGCTGGGCGTGTCCTGGGATATGAATGCTTTGAAAACCTCTGCCCGTTTGGGCGCCAAGAAATATCTCGAGAAGTTTAACAGCAAGCGGAATCAGGGCTTCTCCCTGCTGCCAATTGAATCGATGGATGGGTCACTTACTAACGAGGCATCTCTGAATTTCTCCTCACTTGTACCGCACATGTGGGAAAAGAAAAGCAACGATTCTACGGCGAAATCTCCTGCCAATAAACCAAACTTCCTGAAGGGCGTGGCCAGGATTCTGGGCAATCCAGAAATAAGGTACAGGGACTGGGATGCCAAGCCTGTCCAGGAAATCCTTCCCAAAGCCGCGGGCACTTAATTTTCAATCTCATTGTTAATGATTAAATGTTGATGTGGTAACGAGATGGGTAACCAAATCACAATCAATTAAATGGGGGAGGCTGGCTTGCTAGTGCCAGAAGCAGACTCGATTGAGTAGCCGCAAATTTCATATTCATGGCTGTCTGGTTAATCTCAGCCATTTCATTAGCAGATGCGATTGAAACCCGTTTAGTGGGCTAGGCAACTTCGGCGCAGTATAAAAGGCCGACGGCTATGGTTTCGTTTTGAGAAGCTGCTCTAAAATGCTGAAATATGTAAGTTCAATCGGACTCCAATCGGAATATTGGATAATCAGTCACCTCTCCACTTCAGACCCTCATCTTTGCCCTGTTCGTCGTTTTGGCCAGCTGCAGTGAGGACGATCTGCAGGCGCAGCTTCTGAAGTCGGAGAACAAGCAGAACCTGGACGGAGCTGGGCAGTTCCAGCATGAGATCACGGTCAGCAATGGGATCCAGGTGAAAGCTCAAGGCAATGTGAACGGCATCCAGGGCGAATACTTCCTTCCCGGCGAAGATGGCAAGCAAATTCGGGTTACATACACCGCAGATGCAACCGGCTTTCATCCGAAGGTCGAGGAGTGATCGAGTGGCTTTGACAATTTAAATTAATAATTTATATACGCCGGTTTTTTCCATAAAATTAGATGTGAGATAAAGTGTTTTTGTTTCTATACAACCTTCTCTGGGATACCTACGATGGAAACCTGTTGGGCACCCCTGCATCTTCATCCAGAGTTATGTCCAATTAGACATTCTGCTTACAAAGACCTTGAATGGGTCATGTGGCGGCGAGTGCGGCGATGATTTCCTCCTCCGTACCGTACAAACTCCCTGCCGTACAAATAAAAGGTTGCCGAACACCACTCAGCTTTATAATCAATGGCGGGTGACGGCATAAAATACGCATTGTCATTCGCATAATAGGGAACCCAGCGGAAATGGGGCAAAGTGGGGAACTCACCGGAAGGGAAGCCATTCGGGCCATTGTTAAACGGCAAATTCAAATATGGACTCGCCCATTGTGCGGGGTCATTCGAATAGGTTACGGAAATGACAACTTAAATGGGGCTGCTCCCATTTGGCCCATTTCCCGCTTTACGCCGCCATCTGCGTATCCTTGAAAAACACTATTCTGCATGATGGTTTTATAAATGCAATTGGCTTCATAACATAACAAACAGGCATTTAGACAAGAGGCGCTTCTTACAATTTGGCACTGCCCACTGGCAATCCGGTGCCGTCGCGCGTGAGTTCCATATCCACCGAGGGCTGGTTCACCATTTTCCGTATCACATCGAACTTGGGGTTGTTCTTGTCCCGCACCAAGTCGAAGATAACGCTCTCACTAGTGGTGATCACACAGCCCGCTTGGCGCAGGCGATCCAGGGCCAGATCTCGATCCTGTTTCAGCCTGGAGGAGCAGCAGTCCGCCACTATGTACACGTTGATGTTCTGCTCGAGGAGATCGATGGCGGTCTGCTCCACGCAAATGTGGGACTGTTGGAATGCAGAATTTATTTAGTATAAGCTCACAACTCGAGCTAGTTTTCGAATAAGAGTGTTTCCCTGCTAAACCCACCTCGAGGCCATACAACACGACATCCTCCGGCTTGTCACTGAAGATGTCCTTGATCACAGCCTTGACTTCGGGAGTAACCATGCTGAATAGGGTCTTACCGGAGACCAGCTTGGCATGGCTCACATCCAGCTGGGGCACTGTTTTGCCTAGTTTTTCGGGATAGTGCTCGGTTACAATCAGGGGAACGTCTAGAGCCTTTCCCGCCCGGGTCTGAAATTCATGTGAGTTGATAGCAGAGGTTAACGATAAGGGATCAATATCAAAATCAAAGTTCAACCCACTAGTTTGTCGACGTTTTTGACCATGTTATCAAACAGCGGCATACCCGGTCGGAACTTTTCCTGAATGTCGCACAACAGGAAGAGCGTTTTCTTCGGATTCAGGTGACAGCGTCGCAGGGCCATTTTGTTGTAAAATATTTACTAATTTCACCTAAGAAGATACGCAATATTCACTTGCTAAATAAACTGCTAATTGTAACAGCTGTTTGGTACCAGGGCTACGAAGAAACGAAACGGTTGGCTTGATCGATACGACTTTTGAGCAAAGCACTTATCGATTACCAAATGATTTTAGTACATGGTTTAGTACATGGCTGTAACTGTTTTTCAAACTCGTAACATTTGTAATAAAATTCAATTTTTCAGATCCTGGACTCTGCAAACTACGGAAGACTGACATCCAAGCACTGTTGGAGTACCGCGGATGCTTACGTAGACTAGACCACAAACCGACTGAGTTAATTAAAACCAAATCCTCATTTAATTGAACTTTCCGCCGGGCGACATCATCAAGTAAATATGTAATTACTTAAACGCCTCTCACCACCTCCGCCCCGCCAGCAGATTTATATTCATAAGGCAAGCCGACCTGGAATCTGAAGGCATTTATAATTGAATTCCTCGCCGGCACAGCCGACATTATAGTAATGAAGCCACCGGTCCAGTCAATTTCAATAACGCAATCAAATGCGTGCAGTTTCAAAAACCACAAATGTGAAGCGGAGGAGGCGTAGACCAATCCCAAAGCCATTGACATGCCGCAATGAGTGTCCGGCGGGCAATCTCTTGGACATTCCCGGCACGTAGCCTCGATGGACCCGATACTTCTTCGGGAAAAGGAAGCCCACGATAATGGCCATGGCGAGTCGCATGCATATTTTAGTAATTTGCGCCGCCTTTTGTGTGCCACGCCCTGCTGCTCCGGCTCCCCCCGCCCGGATATTACTGGTCTACATATTTCATGAGACCCCAAGCTTGCGGATGCTGCAATTTGGGGGCCAAGCAAGAGGAACCTTTGTGGAACCACTCAAAAAGTAATCGAAATGTCTGAGACAAACACATGCGTACGCACCTGAATGGCACCTGTATTTGCTATTCGCCCGGGCTTCTGTATTCATGACCTTATGGCCTCTCCATCGCTACTCTCTATTTTCCTAGTCTTCAAGAAAAAGTCATCTTGATTTTCAATTTCGACGCCATTTGCGCTTCACCGCCATCGAGAGTCATTTGCATTTTTCTTCAGCTACACTCTTACTGGGAAAGCATCCGCACTTGCTGGGGAAATAGTGCCACGTTCCGATGGTGGAACTTCCGGTTTTCGATTTTACTAAAACCTCAGATATCTTAAAATATTTTGTCTTATAAAATCATGAGTGGCAACTGCTCTTCAATATCTTATGCCTTCGTTACCAAATCTAGATCTAAGCCTAAAGCTCCCCCAGTTGAGAGTGTGCTTGATTTGAGTCGAGAAGTGCTAATGCCAATAATAAGTCGACACAATTGACAAAAAGTTTTTTCATCTACAAAGGAAAGTGGGCCAGCAACAAAATGTCCCAGCAGCAATTTGCTCGCATCCCAGCAGCCATTTATTGAATGTGAAAATTTAAAATTGTTCATTTGAGAAACAATTTGCGAGCGAAAGTAAGTCGGAGTGCGTTCGTTTGTTGTTTCACAACTGGCAGCCATAAGTTCGAATATATGGCAATAAAAATCCAAGATGCTCGGGGAGCAGCAACAAGAGCCCAGGGAGCTTGTGCGTCTGTCTGACTGTATTTTTATGTGATTTCTCAGGCCATCCTCCAGCTCCTCCGGCTCCATCTGGGAGTCCTGAAAGTCCTGGAAGTGGGAAAGTGCTCTCATGCGAGATCGAACGGAGGAGCGGGGAAACGTTATGCCATTTATTTAGGGTATTCAAGTCTTTGAGCTCCGCTTTCCATTCCGTCTGCAGTGCCATTTGCAATTGTGCAATTTACCCAATGAAATGTAAATGCGAATCAATTGTAGTTTTATTTGCAGTAATTCCTGATTCGACAAACTCGACTTGTGTAAACGCATTTCATTTCGAATATTCGATTCCATTTGCATATGGCTGCTGGCTCCACAATATGAATCTAAAGCTCCTAGTTAGTCACTTAGGTGGCGCAACTAAAAGAGTTGGGGTCTCGTGGCGGCGGAATACATCGGAAAGCACTTTGCCCGTGGCCCAAACATATGCGAACGCATATACATACATGGCAGCTACGTGAGGCTGAGGATGAGGATGAGGTTTTCGCCGATCCAATTTTATTTTCCCGCCCGCGTGTGCCCTCTGTTTACACCTCTTGAGGTCGCCGCCTCGCCGCCTCGCCTGCCTCGCATGCATATCAACGATTTTCAAATTGGCGCCGAAATGATATGCCAAACTACACGGCGCAGGAGGAAAGTATTTTCTTCTGCTGGAAAACTCAGGCAGCCAGTGGGAGGAAAGAGGACCGAGGAGCGAGGACCCAGGACCCAGGATCCAGGACCCCGTGTGACGACATGCAGCGACATCGACATCATCGGGGCACGGGATGGAGCTGGAGCTGGAGCTGGAGCTGGAGCTGGAGGTTGTCCTGTAGCTAATGCTTGTCACGTCTCCTTCAACATTTGACAAGGCAAATTCGCCGAATATTCCGCCCGACCTCGGAGCGCACCTTTGTTTTTTTCGACGAAACGAAGAAAATGATTTTCACAGGTGAATTGGAAAGCGCGTAATGTCGTAATGTCGTAATGTTTGACTTGCCGGCAGGCACGTTGCCAACACATGTCCTCAGGTCCTCACAAAGTCAACACTGCGAGAAAGAAGAGATTGCGGATAATGGGTCGCTTTCATACCGAAAGACAGCAAGACAAACGATCAAGTAATTGGCAAAGTAATTTATCTGTCCAAGGTGCTAAATATTTCTATGAAAATCAACCTTTGCGATGGACAGACTTTGGACACGAGAGTTTCAAGTGTACGCTCACGTGTCGCATCGAATTCGGTGGACTATGGGGCGTATGCGTATTCCACTTTTGCAAATTGGATGAAAATCTTTGGCTTTTCAGCAACGCAATCCTTTGCCCCACTCCGTGGCCATGTGCGATGCATCGGGCTGGAAATTGACATGTCTAACAGAGGGTTGCATTTCTCAAAAGGGCCGAATGGGGGAATTCCAAAGGCAAGAGCAGGCCTTCCTCATTCATCATGGCACCATGGCACCATGGCACCATGGCATCCTGGCACGCCTGGCCATGTCGCACAACATATATGTTGTGTGTGTTGTAAAGGGATATTCGGGGCCAGCAGGCAGCAGCAACAATTTCGAAGAAAAAGGATTCACAGCGCAGATCCAACACCTACACACAAGACAGGACAAGTTCTTGGCAGCTTGCTCGTGTTTTCTATTTTGCGGGGATTATTTCTGTAAACTTTTGCCCACTCCCCACTGCCACTCCGGAAAACAAATTCAAACAAATTGGAGAGCTCGGCTCACCTTGCTGCCCATTAAAGGAGCTGAGCTGAGCTGGCCATGTGTTACGGCGTCCGACGAGTGCGAAATGTGGCCGTAACTCTTTCGCCCCACGTTTTTATTGCCCCGGAACTTTAAGGCGATTGCCGGAATTCTCTCGCACTTGCTGCTACTTCTACAGCTTCTACCGAACTACTGGGCTGCTGTCATTGGGGGTCATTGAACCGCATGTCAAGCGGGCCGCCTGGTTCCGCATTTCCGCATTGCCGGATTCCGTGTCCGTGTCCGTGTCTGTGTCTTGCAACTCCGGCGGAGTCTGCAAA